GAAGGGAGGGCTAGGAATGGGGAAAAAATAAGAACCAAGATGTATTATGTAAAGGTACAGTTCCCAATGAGAAATGTAATTGGGCTGTATACCTAAAATGTACCAATAAAAGAATTTAACAACAACAAAAAAAAGTTTCAGGCCAGCAAGACTCTGTATAAAAAATAAAGAGCTGGAGATGTAGTGCAATGCAAAGGTCCTAGGTTCAATCCCCAGTACTTCAAATACACAAAAAAGTAAAAATATATACATGCATATATACACACATGTATTTATATACACATGTACAGATACGAGACACGGTCAAGTGGATAAATTGCAAACTAATGTTTATGATGAATTTTCTATTTAAATAATTATAAATATATATACATTTTCAAAATATAGAAATATAGATTGTTAACAGTATCTCTGGGGAATATGATGTGAAAGGAATAAAATAGGGTAGAACAAATTTCACTTTCCCATTTATATTCTACTGATTTGCATTTTTATAATAACATGCACAAAAAAATACCCCAAACTAAAAACCAAGTAATGAGACACAATGACTAAATGCAATGTGGTGTACCAGATTGAATCTTTGTAAAGGACATTTGTGGAAAACTGATGAAATGTAAATAAAGCCTGTAACTTAGCTTTAAAAACTAAATAAAAACAGAAAAATAATCAGAGAAGCATATAGCTGCTAAACAGCAATGTTTTGTGAACAGGAAATGGTGGCATTCCCCAGGAGCTGAGGATTGGCTGGAACTGGAATTTGGAAATTGTTACACAACCTACAGAAATCAAACGAAGACATTATACTTTCTCCTGGGTGTACAAAGACTGATTTAAGTTGACTGGCTACAGATCAGCAGGAGACATCTGTCCCTTTCTTTATGAGAAGAACCAGGAAGTGCTCCAAGCTTTCACCACAATTGGTATTGCACAACACACACTGCCTGTAGGGTACAGTCCACAGCAACAGCTCTAAACACATTTTCTATTTGGGGTCTCGGTACATTTTGAGTATCTATTTTCCTTGTTACTATATTTATTCACATTTGTCAATTTTCTCCTTTCTCAACTTTGAGGCAGCCATCATCAAGTTCTCTGTCCACTTCCCCGCAAGAAGTCTGCAGTTACGCTATAGGTGACTGTACTGGACCAAGTCTGGCTCCTAAAGCAGTTGTTTCTTCCAGTTTCCCTGGTTTCTCTCTTAAAGTGACCTTTCTGTCTGTTCCAACCTTATTTATCAGGAACAAAAGAATGAATGGCCTAACTTTCAAGAGCTTAAAAAAAAAAAAGTATGAGCCTTGGAGTTTCAAAGACCATCACAAGAAAAACTGCCTCAACCTGTTCTCCGTGTGGCTTCCCTTACCTCCTCTCCCACCCAGTATCTGCTCTCAGCTGCAGCCAGGAATGCTACCACTTTTACAGTAAATTATTTCAAAATAGGTAGCCAGTCAGCCTCTCATCCCTGTTTCAGAATTCAAAATGTCTATAATTTAATGGAAAAGAGGAAGGTAACAGTGTTGGTAAATAAAATGAATGAGTTCCGCTTTTAAATGTGTCCAAAGCATAGTGTTAATATATATGACTCTTCTGATATACAAAGCAAGGTACAAATGCTACAAGATAATCTCAACTATATTATCTTTGAAAATTACGAGAATTTAGTTTGACTGGATGGTTGACATTATCAAGCAATTATAAACCCTTAAAGATATGGGTTTTTTTTTTAAAAAAAAAAACCTTTATCTACATACTGAAATATATGAGGATGAAATAATTGCTTCAAAATAGTCTCAGGCAGAGGAGGGTAGGTGGAGAGAAATGGATAAACTGTATTGAAATGAAAGTAAGACTAGCCACAGACTGATATGGTATTGAAGGCATTTGTTGATTTGAAGGGGTACATTACTTTGAATACTTTTTTATATGTTTGAAATTTTCCAAAATTAAATGCTTTTATAAAAAGTCATTAAAAGGAGAAAAATATTTTAAACAAAGATGATTGCTCCAAAAAGAGAAATACTTGTATAACAAATGAAACTGTATTAAAACAGTTGACAACTTTTCCTCTTTTATTCCAAATCCCTTGAAATATATTTAAAAATAACTACAGAATCCCAAAAGTGAAGGAATACAAGAAATAACAATATCAGAATACCAGTTTTTTTTTAAGTTTACCTTTCATGGTCTTTTTTTGTTGTTGTTGTTTTTTGAGACAAGGTCTATGTAGTTTACTCTGGCCTTGAAATCACTTTACAACAAAGAAGAGTATTATAAAAGATACTACTTGTAAACAATCATATGATGCTTTCATATCTCTGAAATGTTGATAAAATCAGCAATAAGAGGGCCAGGGATTTAGCTCAGCGGTTCCGCCGCCTACCTCACAAGTGCAAGGTCTCGAGTTCGATAACCGGTACCAAAAAAAAAAGAGCAGTAAGACAGGAATATAGGTTTGAACAATTAATAAACTAAATTTAAAAAACCTTGTATTCAAAACAAAGCACCCCATCCCTACAACTCATAGAATATTTACAAATATTGATCATGTATTCCCTAACATAGAAACTATAGAGGCTACATTCTATCCAATTGGAAATTTTAAACATACTTTTAAATAATTCCTAGGTTAAATATAATAAAATTACTCATTAGAAACAATAGTCTTCACAGCTTAAGATTCAGACATAGCCAAGGCAATACTCACAGAAGCATTTTCAGTCTTAAATACATTTATTAGAAAACAAGAAATATTGGAAATAAAGTTGTTTATACAATACACATTACAGCACCTTAAAGCCCATTCCTGGAGAGTGGTGGGCTATGAAAGTAGTCCAGGAATCTATGGATGCATTTGTAAACTTTAAGCCTGTGGGATTTGCATGATAACTAGTGATAAAACTGCAGACTGCATCGTGTTTTAAAATACTACAAACTCAGTGTAATATAGGTTACTTCACCCTGATGAGATGTGTTGGTTTGGGTATCCCTTCATTGAATATATAAACTCTGAACTGAGTTCCTTGAAATCAGGCAAGGCCTTATATTTTTATACCTTCAATACAGGTACAAAGAGGCACAAAAGTAAGCTCTCAACAATGTTATATAAACTGTTTTAATTAATGCACTGGGCAGATGATTTCCAAAATATGAGACATACTGGAGTAGAGTGAAACAAGAGAAAAAATGTTTGGAAAGGTGGTTACACGATGGAAAACAACAACTAAACACGAATCTTAATCCCAGATCTGTGATGTTACTAGTGCTACATGTCAGGCATTCCAGGAGTTTAGAGAAAAACAATACTAATAGAGACCTTCTTAAGATCTGCTGTGTGCTTCCCTACTTTCTCTTGCAGGCAAGATTAGTGAACTTCAGTAATCACAATGTCAGAGAAAACTAATTTTTCAACTAAAAAACAGTCTGGTTTATAAAAACCTAGCCCCTTTTCGCTATATGTCAATAAGGTAGTTATAGCTATAGCTAGCAAAATGCTACAACATAAGATCAAATTCCCTGGTATTAGAAGAGACAAAAAAATCTCAGTACTTTAAAAACATTTACAGGGTTCAATTACTACCTTCATAAGACAAATTTTAACTAAACCTTAAAACAGATGATTATTCACATTATTTCACAAACTACTCTTTCTGCTAAAAGAAATCAGTTGAATCTCATTAAGTATACATTAGTTTTTCATAGAAAAACAAAGATATGATTCTGAACTATATTTTCAAAATTCACTCCAATTAAATATAAACATACAGAGGATATATCTGTATTAACATTTCAAACATTCAATATTTGAACTATTAAGTAGAGCTAATACAAACAAGAAAAATTTAAATTTCAAGAACTTCTATGTTAATTTGATCCAGTTTGTTTAAAATATTTCCCTTTGTTACAGTTAGAGTGGATCATCTGCATTGAAAACAAACTGTATTTCTCTGCCCAATTTTGCTTAGTCGAATTAAGCAGTTAAAAAACTGTCTTCCTTGTTACTAAACCAGTATTTCCAATTCTTAACTGGTACAACAACAATCTTCCTTACCTGAGAGCAATGTATAAAATGAATACAAATAAAAAGAAAAATTCTCCCAGCAAATACTATACACAATCCCAGTGATACAGACATAGTCTTTTTTTTAAAAAAAAAAATTAGCCATGTATTTATTTGCATAGAATCAAAGAAAAGATTTGAAAATCCAACATAATATGGAGGCTTAAAGTTTAATTATTAATCCAGTTTTTTGAGGAAAAAAAGGTTTTTGGTTTTCCTCTACTAACTTGAAGATAGTACTGTCTTATAATGTATCAACTATGTGCTGAAACTGATGGGAACTATACATCTTTAGTTTTCGCAGAATTTATATCAAGTCCAAAAAAGTCTTTTTTGATGATGTACCGAACACACTGCAAAATCACATTTCTTTCATGTCGAATGTCCGGAGCTAGAAGCTAAAAAACAATTTTTAAAAATGATTAGCTCGTTAAAAAAAACACACATCCAGGAAACACAATCTAAAATATTAAGTGCATCTTCTCATATAAAGAACAAAGAACAGTAAGAGATGAGTATTATACTTATTTTGCTAAAAAGCAATTTAAGAACATTTCTCTTTCCTTTTAACTTACACTATCTAGCTTTTAATACAGCACAAAAATTCAGTTTTAGGGTCCTCTTAGGAGTATCTAGCAAAGGACAAGAAAACATTTAAAAGTCTTCAATTGTTTAATCTAAAAATAATGTCAAAGAGGATCCCATAGCCAGGTGCAGTGGCTCACACCTGAAGTTTCAACTACTCAGGAGGCTGAGGCAGGAGGGTTGCTTGAGCCCAGAAATTCAGAGAAAACGTGAGCAACACAAGACTTTGCCTCTCAAAAGATAATTAAAAAGATAATTTAATTAATAATAATAAAATCCCAAATCCATACATGATGTAGAAAGTGGTATAAGTATATTAAACATAGAAACACTGAAAGATTTTTTTTTTAAATCTCAACATTCCTTGACTTTCATAAGTTGGCACTTCTGTGCTTATTTCATTGAAAGAAGGCTAAAACCTCTAGTATTTAGGGTAAGTACATAACTAAGGAATAATATTGATTTGCCAAGAAGGAATTTATTTTTATTTATTTTCTGATATGATTAATATAACCGAGAAACATCAATTTCAATGGAAAGATAATTTATCATGAATAAGATAAACATTTTTAAAATGCAATTTTCTGTATATAGCAGTGATATTTACAAAATGAGTATATTTCAGATCCACCTTAATAAGCAGCAACTCTATCTACATGTAGTATCTTATACTCTAGCTACAGAATAATTTAGCTACAGCATAAACACTTACCTACATGCTAAGTAAAAAACAAACTTTTCCTAGAACTCAAGTTTTTATAACTCCATTAAAAATGTGGAATTTTATATTACTCTTAGACATGAAAATAATCTTTGAATAGCTTTATTTCCATTTCTTAGAAAGGATACCTTGTTTTCTCTACTTTGAAGATATCAGATTTCGAGCATACAACACTGCTAAGAAAGCCAACAATGCACAAAATAAATACACATAAAGGTATAGAAGGGCCGGGGATTTAGCTCAGTAGCACTGCACCTGCTTCGCAAGTGCAAGGTCCTGAATTTGATCCCCAGTACCAATAAATAAAAA